AGAGGTACCACACACAGCCTGGGTGCTTTGCCAGTGCAGGAAAATAGGGAAAACAGGAGAAGCAGAGACACGTGCCACGCGTGCCAGCAGGATCCGTGCCGTGATCCACACTCCCAGCAAGGTGTGAGACAACAAACAAACGCCACAAGTGCAGCCAGCACCACAAGCAATCCAGCAATCCAGGGCTTTTCCAGAGCTTTTCATCTTCTCCAGCCAACAGCAGGGAGATGAATGCTGCTCTCCAGTTCTGAACTCCCACATGGTGAGGAGTACCTATTTATACAAATTTTTGAACAGATAAAAGGCCAGTCTTGGCCTAGAAGCCACTCTCTGCATCCATGTTCTCCCTGAATGCCTCCAAGAAGTGGCTCACGGCGTGTCCAGCAGGACCCCCAGCCCTGGGGGGTGTCACCCTGGCAGGTTCAGCAGCTGGAAGGACTGCACCAAAGGAGCCCAAGGCACACAAGGGAGGACACGGGAAGTGTCCCAAGAGAGAAGGAAGAGGCCAACTGAGCTGCAGAGGAACAGAGCCCAGTGCTCAGCTGGTTTCCCGAGCAGGACTTAATGCAGGGGACAAATAAAGCTGTTACCATCCTCCTCCTTACTTCCCAGGATCCACCAAAAATGAAAACTCTTTTTTTTTAACCTTCTCTATCCAATTTTATTTCTTTAATCTTCTGCAGGAAAAAAAAAAAAGCTGGTTTAAACCTTCAATGTTGTATCTAGATTCTTAAATATGGTGTAAGAGGGGACAGAAGCCAGGCCACTGAAGGGAATTCTACCATAGGAACATATTCCAGGAGCTGGACTTGGATAATCCTTGTGGGTGCCTTCCAAGTCAGGATATTCCACAACTCTGTGATATGAAGGAGCACAGAGCAGTGAAAAGCAGCACAATGCCCTTTTCCCAAGTGAGGGAGCAGGATCACATCACATCCAGGCTCACTTAAGCTAAGCTGTTCTGACTCCAACACTTGCACATGGGAGCAGATTCTTTTTATAGAGACCTGGCATGGCACAAACACTTCTCATGAGGTCCTGTTAAGGGATAAAGGTGCAGCAGCAGGATGGGCCCCACAAACTGCCATCACAGGACTGCACTAATCCCACACAGGCACATCCCAACTGCCTCTGCTGTGTTTACATCAAACCAGCAGTTCCATAAATAAACCAATTTGTAAATTAAGACTACACCTAATGGTATAATGTTCTATTATATGGTAGAATGGCAATAATATATTTTGAACTTGGAAATTAAAGCTACACCTAATGCTAAAGCTACACATAATGGAGTTTGTGTACCTGCCCCATGGGACAAAGGGCTCACTATTTATTTCCTTTACAAACAGAAAACTCTAATTCCCTCTGTACCCATAAGAATGCCTAACTTCAGGGTAATGTCTGACTTAATATTGGTGTTTTAGCTACTTTACAAATTCGTCCTTCCTAAAACTACAGAAATTGTGGATCTTCAGGTAAATACCTTGGACCAACCTGCCAACATTAAACTCACTACATTATAGCTGAAAGAATTAGGATTGTTCAGCCTGGAGGACAGAAGGGTCCAGTGAGAGCTCAGAGCCCTTTCCAGGGCCTAAAGGGGGTACAAGAGAGATGGAGAGGGACTGGGGACAAGGAATGGAGGGACAGGATGCAGGGAATGGCTTCCCACTGCCAGAGGGCAGGGATGGATGGGATATTGGGAATTAGGAATTGTTCCCTGGCAGGGTGGGCAGGCCCTGGCACAGGGTGCCCAGAGCAGCTGTGGCTGCCCCTGGATCCCTGGCAGTGCCCAAGGCCAGGCTGGACACTGGGGCTTGGAGCAACCTGGGACAGGAGAAGGTGTCCCTGCCCATGGCAGGGGTGGCACTGGATGGCTTTTAAGGTCCTTTCCCACCCAGGCCATCTCATGATTCCATAATTAAAGATTTTGTTCCCCCCCCTGCCCCAGCCTGACCCCGTGACAGCCCAGGCCTGGCACTGCAGAAGCTCCTCACCACGATCCCACTGCTGCCTCCAATGCGTCACTGCCTCCCTGCAGCATCCACAGGGATTCCTCCATAAAGCTCTCAGCCTCCACTGCCTGCAGAATGTGACTCTCACAACCCCTAAGCCTGTTCAGGTGTTGTGCACTTGGAAATCAGTTGTACAAATCATGATTGGATCAATCCTGTTCTCACAGCATGTGCTTTGTGCTAAAATTAAGCTACAATATTCCAATAATGGGGAATATCAGCTATGAGCAGCCAGAGGTTTCATTCCTGCACTGCAAAGGCACCTTAGGGCTGTAGTTGTGCAGCAGAATTCAATCCAATCAAGTAATTACAGACCTTATCTGTGCTGAGATACAGAGCTGCAGCCTCTCAAGGTACTTACAAGTGACAATTCCAGGCTGGATGTCTGCAGCTGTAAGGAGGCCTGTTACAGAGCAACAAAGCACAAATTTCCACACCTCTACAAGTCAACTTTCAGTTTTAAAACTACATTTCCAAGGAGCTTGCATGCATAGGTTTTTCCACTTTGAAGCAGAAATTTTTACTTCTTTCCTGGTGGTGAAAAGGAAGGGGACAGAGAGGGAGAGGCAGATGCCTCAACCAGTGCATACTCAATGTTTACCCACAAAAAAATGCAGGTTCCTGGGAAAACAGCTCCCAGGCAGCACCCAGCTGGGACATCCCAGAGACTGCACAGTGAAAAAAAATAGGAAAATTCCTGTCCATCAGCTCCTAAGCCAATCCCACTCCTAAAAAGATCAGAAATACCACTGGGTCTTTGCCTCCCCCCAAGTGTTGCAGCAAAACACTGTACTTATAATAAGCTTTAACAGATAAAAGTCTGATACAGGAGTAAAGCAGAGATAATCCCATAAATTTGGCTTGGCAATCCTCAGGCTGTCCCAGTGTCAGGCAGCTCCTCCACCAATTCAGAGTGCCATGGAAGTGCAGGATGGCCTGTGAAACAGCCTGAAGGGTTCAGACACAGGAATCACCAGGGCTCCCCTGGCACTGACAGGACAAGCCATAGACAGGACATGGCTTTTCCTCATCCCGCATCAGCATCCAGAGAGCTGAAGGCAAACTCACAAAAAATGACAGAAAGAATCATAGAATGGTTCATGAAATGTGTCTGGCAGGCACCTCAGTAGGCCTCAGGTCCAGTCTCCTGCTCTGAGCATCTGCCTCCACACAAGGCTGCTCAGGACCCTGGCCATACACGGCTGGAACAGTCATGAATTCCCTGCATCTCTCCAGATCCCTGTCCCAGTATTCAGTCCTCACTCCCAAGCCAACATGCTTCCATGTGTCCATGCAGGATTTCCCATGTGCTCTCCCAGCCCTGTGCCTCACCCTGCCAGGAGCAGAGCCAGGTTCTGTCCCCCCTCACACCCTCCACCACGGAGCTGTGGGTCTCCCTGTCTCCTCTGCTCCAGCCTCATCCTGGCAGGCCCCAAACCAGACTGATGGCCCAGACAGGGCACCCCAGGACACGCCTCTGCTGAGAAGAGGGGATGGTCTCTTCCCTCAACACTTCAGCTAACACAGCCAAAGCCACCACTGAGCTCTGGTCACTCCTGGTCACCTTTCTGTCGCCAGGGGCTCCTCTGCAAAGCTGCTTCAAGCAGCAATGCCTCTGCTGAGCGTCACGGGGTTCCCATCAGCCAGCTCTCCAGCCTGTCACAGTCCCTCTGAAATCCAGACCTGTGACCTCTCTGCTCCACTTGGCATCACCCACAGCTGGGCTGCAAGGGCACTCACCCATTAATAACCACATTACACAGCAAATACTGCAACTAATGAACTGTGATCTTATCACACTACCAAAACCCAATCAAATTATACATACTCCTAATCAATACCTGAGAGGATACAGCTAATCACAGCACCACCACCACCCCAGCTCCCAAAGGGAGCCCTGCATGCTGTGTACAATTCCAAGTGGGAGCTGACCGTGTGTCCTGTGTGCCAAATGTAAATTATGCACTATTAAGATGATTGTCACCTTTGTACCATCACAAAAAGACTTTCAGTTTGAGCACTCTTTTCCTCCTGCTTATAAAAATTCCATCCCAGCAGAGATGCAAAGTCAGGGAGCCTCAAGCAGACTCTCCCCAGCACAGACCACAGAGACCCAGTTGACAAGGAGTGGAAAACTCTGCTGGGATAAAATAAAGCCATAGAGTAGTTCCACCTGACCACACACTATAAACCTGCAGTGCCTTCTGCTCCAGAAGCCCTGCTGGGAAACACCACATTGGCAACTTGGGAATAATAAACGGCGGATTAACAGCACGCAGCATCAGTCACAGGAACATGCAGGCTTGGAAACAGATAAGATGGAAGGTCTCAAGTCTTCCAAGAACACAGGACGGGGCTGCTGGAGAACACAGCGCTGACACCAGGCACCACCCAAGCGTTCCTGGACAGAGCCCTCCAAAAAGGGCTTCAAACCAAAGGCTGAAACTTAACACAGAGTCACAGAATCGCACCACCCAAGCGTTCCTGGACAGAGCCCTCCAAAAAGGGCTTCAAACCAAAGGCTGAAACTTAACACAGAATCATAGAATCTCCCGAGCTGGAAGGAACCCACAAGGATCACCCAATCCAGCTCCTGTCCCTGCCCAGACCCCCAACAACCCCACCCTGTCCATCCCTGGCAGTGCTGTCCAAAGGCTCCTGGAGCTCTGGCAGCCTCGGGGCCGTGCCCATTCCCTGGGGAGCCTGGGCAGTGCCAGTACCCTCTGGGGGAAGAATCTTTTTCTAAAATCCAACCTAAAATTCCCCTGACACAACTTCATTGACTCCTCACGAGCTGTGGGCACAGCTGCCATCCCCACCTGCTGCGCAACGTCTCCACACCTCAACGACAAAAATCTGCTTCTTTAATCTTGTGGTCTCCACTCCTGCATAGTCCTGGAGAGGAGGGGTATGTCTGTGTCCCACTGCCATGAACACATCCCAGTCATCCATGTCCATGCTCCAGCCAAATCCACCCAAACTCACCCCATCTTCCGAACTGGGACCGGTGTATTTTTCAAGCGCTTCCAAGAAGAGCCACCACTCCTGACAGTTGCAGAAGACCTGAAAAAAAAAGTTTGTGGAACCACCCCTGTGCATTTCACAGGAAAAAAGAAACTTCAAAAAATCATGAAGATTTCCAGAGCTAGGGAATTAGTTGCCATGGATATTTGCTGCTGTGACAAATACTCTAATTCTGTGCTGGGGTGAGTGACAGGCACAAAGCACCAAGTCAGCTGGGAACAGCAACACGGCACGGCTGGAACACAGCACACACAGACCCAGTCTCTGGGAGCATCCCTGAGGAAATCAAGCCATGGACCTCAACATCACCAGCACCAGGAGGCCCCGTGACTCCCCAAAGGAGCTTTGCTCCCATCCAGGCTACTCAGCCCTGCTGTCACATCCATGGCTGTGCCATGGGAAGGAGAGTTCACTGTTTCTGAGAGCCCACCCAGTCACAATGTTTAGGTGTCTGTGCCAACCAACTAGCCTGAAGTGAGGCGATCTTACCCACGACAGCAATATACAACCAGCAGGCCTCAAGGACAACATTTTCCTGCTCTGTTTCTTATAAACTTCCTAAAAGAAACCTGCTCTAGCTATTAATAACAGATTAAGAATCACTGCTTTGTGTTGAAGAAGGAAAAGGCACTGACTCCCACTTCACCATATTTACCCCCACATGCATTGCAGAAGCTGATTTAAACAGCCACGCGTGCCCAGCCAGTGCTCTCATCCAGAAAGATTTGGAGGATTAAGACTATTTTTAGGGAGTGAAGCACCTCCCCCTGAGTCACTGCAGGGACACACATCTATCCAGTCATGATTCAAAGCAGAAATAGCCTTGAAGAGTTAGATAAAAATAAAAAAAAGCAAGGAAAGTGGATACTAACACAGCTTGGTGTGAAAGGAAGGGCAGGGAAAACAGAGGTGCCAATGAGTTTGGCCACAGTCAACAGTGCTGACAGAGCAGCAGCTCCATCAGTGCTGGGTCACAATGTGACCCGTGAGCAGCCCCACGCCCGCAGCGACGCTCACAGCGAGGAGCAGCATCACCTGGGGACAGCACAGCCCTGCCAGGAGCCCTGGCTTGCAGAGGGGGAAGCGAATCCCAAGTGCCTGGAAGGGGACCAAAGAGGAGATTTGCTCCCATTTGTTCTGCTTTCATGGCAGAGCTCCACTGACACGCAGTCCCACGCTTCCATCTGCATGTTTAATTGCAGCGTTGATCCTTCGCAGCCCGAAGCTCAGCACCAGCCCTGCACACAGGGCTGTGAGTCAGCACCACTGCCCAGCACCACACTCACATCCAGCTCTGCTCTCCTCCAGCCCAGCCTGCAGCTGGCAGACACGGGAATATTGTGTCATTAATTATTAAACAAGCTTTTTGATCGAAACCAAACAAAGGCTGATGCAAAGTGTAGAAAGATCCCTGCCACGGTGCTATAGGAACTGCTACAATAATTGAACAGTATAATAAGGACCTGAAGGGATATTTAACACCTCCAGCTAGCTCAGGTTTGGAAGCACTATCTTATTTAGGGATAAATCTCCAGGATGCTGCCTGCCCTCCTGATAGCAGGCTGAGACAACTCACATTTCAGGGTGACAACCTGAGCTGTTGGTCATCAGCTGAACAGACCCACAGGGAGCAGAGGGCTCTGATATCACTGATAACACTTAAGGCAGCTAAAATTACCAGGCTGAGTTACCCAGCTACAACAACTGATACACAAGCACAAAATACAGAAAAGCTTAGTAGTCTGATGTGCTGCGGCATAACCCAACCTACAGATAATAAACATCATGGTCATACAGAGGTGAGTTCAGAACACATTGCCCTGATTGGAAACTTCTTTTCAGGGGAAAATGAGGCAGGATACAAGGGATACTGCATGAAAAAGCACAGCAGGTTCCTCACAATACTCCTGACAAAAAGGATCAGCTCCTTCCCCAGTGACTCACTGTGGGTACAGAGGATGACAGACCATACAAGCACCAACTTAAACCTGTAATTGGAGCAAGCCAAGTCAGAGCTGAATACATATTTCCCTGGAAAAAGACAGGCAGGGGAGCTGCAGGAAGAGGCAGGTGATGCCAGTCACCTCTGCAGGCAAAGGACAGCCGTCCTGCTCCTGGAGCAACATGACAGCAGTCGGACCAGGGGCTGGCAAGGGTTTTCCAGGGCTGAGCATACCCGTGGATATCCTGGAGCAGGAGCCAGTCCATGCCAACCTCTGCTCCTAAAGCTCAGCACAGCCTCTGCTGTCCCACTCCAGCAGAGCTGAGGGAGCTCCAGCACTGTGTGGGAAAGATGTACAGTGACCCCCTGCCTGGGACAGCAGAGCAGAACTACACCAGTGTGTGCTCCAGCAATGGAAGCTGGACCAGAGCACACCAGAAAGGGGTAAAAGGCACCTCGCTCAGGTAAGGAGCCAGGCAGCTGAGCCCATAAACACCCTCCATACCTGCCAACAGCTCCAGGAGGGAAAACTGCCGTGGGAGCCAAGCTGCCTGAGGGATCCCCACCTGACCAACATCAAAACAGCAGCACAGGCTGCTGTACTTCCACACAAACCCAGAGTGCTCTGCCCCCTCAAAGTTTAGCTCTGCACAAGAACAAACCAGTTATTTCTTCTACAATTACATCAAATTAAGTATTTGGCCAGTACAGAACCACGGAATGGTTTGGGTGGGAAAGGATCTTAAAGGTTCTACCCCCGTGCCGTGGGCAGGGACACCATCCACAAGACCAGGCTGCTCCAAGCCCTGTCCAGCTTGCCTGGAACACTTGCAGGGATGGGATGAGGGATGACATCCACCCCATCTAGCCAAATTAAGATTATATGTACAGAAAGAAAGGAGAAAGATGGTTCATGGCTCGTCACAGTTTGCAACCAGCAAACAGAACCAGGCAACAGCTGTAAATCCCCTCAGCCAGCACTAATTACCAAGCCATGGTGGAAACATCCCTAAGGATAAGATCCCTGTCTCATGCCCTCCTGCAGAGTCAGCAGCAGTTGCTGTTTGGACTGAAATGAGCCCGACCTCCCCCACAGCACCAACTGGGAGCAGAGCAACCCAGCCTGGAACCAGCAGCCCAAAGAGCATCGTTCCCCCCACCCCACAGCACCCCTCAAGTGTCATGTGGACATGCAGTGTCCCCAGGGAGCTGTGGCAGCACAGGGACAAAGGGACAAAGCACAGCAAGGAGCTGCCTCCAGAATGGGCAAATAACAAGGAACAACAGCAAAGCACCATATGGATCCAGAGAGTGCCATGGGAAAACAAGCTGACTGGGAACACCAATTATTCATCACTGTTTAAAAACAAGTAACTCAAAGTCATCAGGAGCTGCAGAGCTGCCCTGGAAACCTGCACGCTCCAGCACCCAAAGAGACACAAACACTCCAGGACTTGTCTGCACAGGGACAGGGTGTCACAAAAATCATTCCAGGAGAGCATGTTGCCTCACTCTATCATGTACAAGCTAAACCGAAGGAAAAGTTTTCCCCTCCAAGGGTGGTCCAGCACTGGCAGAGGGGCCTGGAGAGGCTCTGCAAGCTCACACCTCGGAGATTTCAGAGCACAAGTGTGATGAGAGGCGGCTGAGGGAGATGGAGGGGCCCAACGGGGGCTCAACCTTCTGCGTCTGCACAACCCCCTGACAGGAGGGGACAGCCAAGCGGGGGAGTCAAGCTGTGCTCCCAGGGAACAGGGACAGGAGGAGAGGGAACACCTTCAGGCTGGGCCAGGGTAGGCTCAGGTTGGATATTGGGAAAATTCCTGTATGGAAAGGGTAGTCAGGGTGGCACAGCTGCCCAGGGCAGTGCTGGAGTTCCCATGCACGGAGGGATGTAAAGGCCACGTGGATGTAGCACTTGGGAACATGGCTCAGTGGCGGCCTTGGCAGTGCTGGGGGAACACTTGGATCAGAGGTCCCAGAGGTCCCTCCTGGGCTCCCTCAACCCCCCACATCTCTACCCTCAGCAGTGGTTTTCAAGCTCTTTCTTGAACTCTCCGCCTGAGCTTTCAGTGGAGTCTCAGCACAAGAAACAGGGAAAAAAACCTCTGGGTTGTGCTCAATCCCTCATGATGCCAACTAAGAGTTAACTGCTGGATAAACAGAGCTGGTGAAGAATACTGCTTTGTGAAATACGGCTTTTCCAGGGAATGAGCTGCAGGATGACCCAGACAAGACAGCTAAAGTGCCCCAGGCACCCATCACTGCTCTAAGAGGGGAGTTAATGCTGCTTGATGGAGAAGCCTTTCCCATCCCAACAATAACATGGTTTTCCCCTCTCCATTTGTCACTGCTTTCATCATTACACCCTGTGCCCACACGAAGCACTGCTGAAGGCTCTCCAGACACCCAACCCCCAGGAACCCAGCTCCAGCCCATCCCACAGAGGAGCCAACACATCCCAGAAATCTAAGAAAGGTCAAGGAGCTGCTGAGAGTACACAACACTCTTGGAGCATCCATGGTCACATGAGCTAACGCCAGTCTTTGATGAATTAATACTCACCTGAAGAACCTCTCTAATCTCCTTGAAAACACTTATCTGTTCAAGGTGATTAGATTCTCCCATACAGAGCCGCTAATTATAGATAATGATAAATCTGAGTGGCAGCCTGCAAGAGGAGTTCAGAGAGAGAGTTTGGATCATTAGCAAGTCAAGCAGACTAGTCCTGCATCCCCAAACTGCCTTCCCACGCTGGCATCACTGAATCAGCCAGAAAACTTTGTCAAAAACAACCTAGGAGGACCAATCAAGGGCAAGAAAAATGGTCCAACCATATTGCTGTGGATTTAGGAACTTCCCAAACCCACACACATCCCTCCAGAGGAGAGTACTGTGCAGGAACCCCTCAAGAATTCCTCAGCAGTTGTTATTTTTCACAGGTTCAGAGCAGGGAATACAAAGCAAAGGCACATGAAGTTTCCCTGGCAGCAAGACCTGATGTCTTCATCGATGTAGCAAAGCTACAGGAGGCTTTAAATGCTCCATTTGGGAAAAATATTGTAATTAGAAGCTTTAATTCAGCAAACTGTCCCTGTGAAACCAACTGGGCAGCAAACAGGCATCGCACTTGGCTGCTGCAGCAAATCCCTCAGAACAGCTCCAAAGGATGGCACAGCACCCACCCACACACCAGCAGCTCCAGGGACACCAAGGGGACACCCGGGATTTCAGCAGCTCAACTCTGCAAACCAAAATCCTGACAGGCTGGGGTTTAAAGATAAAGAGCAAGAGGCAGGAAATCCAAATGGAACAAAAAGCTTCAACCTGGAACGAAATCAATCCACACAAGGAGGCGGCCTGGGCACCACGGGGCAGCTTTCCCAGTTCAGATATTTTAGCAGACAAGCAAAATGAAGTTTCTGCAAAGCTACTCCTGAGCAGCCACAGCTAAATCTGGTGGGCTGTGCAGCTACAAAGGTGACAACACAAGAAGAACACAGCAAGGGCAGGAAAGGAGACTTGTGGTCTATTAAGCTGGGATGAGCACAAAGAGCCAGCAGAAAGCAGGACCCATGACTCTCAGAGTGCCAGAGACCTCTATAGAACATATACAGATAGACAAATACAGATATATGCTCTTTCTCAGTGAACAGGCAGCAGCCTGACACCTGCCTGGCTCCTGTCATGGAGCTAGAATTCCTATCAAAACAGAACTGCCAGTTTTTACCCCAGACTGTCTCCCAGGAGTGCTCCCAGATGAGCAATTCAAGCTGACACAGCCACTATTTCAGAGCGCTGGTTTTGAAGAGTATCATGGAGGCTTTTCTCCACTTAAGACAGACTTCACCACGTGTTCTGCACTGTATTTTTGTACTCCTGACTCACAACCAAATTAATTCAGTTGTCATCAAGCCCAGAGATGAAAAGAAGCACAAAATCCTCCAGCATCCTTTTCCCCAAGCAGCTGCTGAAGGTCTGCCCTGCCTGAAAGCTTCACAAAGTTTCAACTCCTTCACATGCTGCTCAGAATAATTTCCTTGGCTGTTTCTGTTTGTTGTTTCAGCCTAAAACAGATCAAATGGTCTCAAAATAAACCTGATTGTTCCCATCTAAAATAATTGTTGAAGAAAACCACTTGTTCACTCATGACAGACTTGGCATCAACATGCAAAAATAATATTCTGACATGGTTACAAATGGGATGTTAAACTCCAAAAGCCTTTTTGAGCAAGAGTTAAGGCATTCCAGAAAGGATTACAGTAAATTAGCTGAATTACTGAGAGGTAATTACATTTTTTTGGGGGAGGTTGTTTGGCTTAAGTTCTTTGAGGGTTTTCAACAACTCCAAGTGGATAAACACATGATTTATCTTCTGCACTGTTACCTGCTGTAGTCTGACCCCAGGACCCAGGTTCCAGGTCTCTCTTAGAGCTGGAAGAGTTTATAGTCACATATGACAGGGAGCTGGAGCTCTGCAATCTGCTTCAGGCTACATGTCAGCAGCTGGAGCTGAGAGGAAATCAGCTGATGAACTTTATGTCGGGAGGAAAAACAGCTTTGGCATAACCTTTACAGACAATTCCTGTCTCAGGGGGTTTGGCACTTTAAAGACCTACTATTTTATAAAGCTTAACCATCCCTAATAGTTAGGATTGTTTCCATGTCCTGAAGTACAGCCAACATTTGCTGCACATCACTGCGGGTGACAGAGCACTTGTGTTTCAAGTGACAAGAAAAAACATGGTCCAAATCACAGAATCCCTGAATGGTCTGGGTGGGAAGGGACCTTAAAGCTCCTGTCCTTCCACCCTCTGCCATACACAGGGACACCTTCCTGGAGGATAAAAACACCAACATCCACATTTGTATTTTCACCACCCCAGTGAGACAAGCAGCACAAGAGAAGCTATAAAGACGACACCGCTTTGGATTCAGCCTCGCAGCCTCGGGGTGTCTGACACGCTCCTCGCTGAGCCCACAGCCCGTCTGCACAAACCCAGCGTCAGACAGCGCCGGGAGCCAGGCACGGCTCGGAACAGCTGCCGGAGCTTCCTTCCGTCCCCCAGGAGCGCAGCCCCAGCCGGGGCTGGCTTCCCCAGCCCAGCATTCCCAGCACAGCATCCCAGGCCATCCTTCCACCGCCACCGCAGCGCCCGCAGCCCGGGCGCCGCTGGGGGAAGGACCCGCAGGCTGTGGCAGGGTACAGCAGCAGCAGGAGCAGGTTCCACAGCTAGGGGAGGAGGGTTTGGGGCGTTCGGATGGAAGGCTGTGATTTGGGCAGCTGTAGCAGCCGGAGCTGCTGCACCAGCAGCGGAGGGATGGAGAGAGAGAAGGATGAGAGATCCAGGGCGTTCCATCCTCCCGGGGCCCCGCGGCTCTGCAGAATCCGAGCCCGAGTTTGGCTTTAAAAGGGAAAAAAACCCCAGACTGAGCAATACGAGGCGATTTTCGCTGTACAACAGCGCAGCCCCCGCGGTCCGTCCTCCCCTCCCGGCGGCCCCTGCCCGGCCCCCCGGTCCCGGTACCTGTAGTAGCTGAGCAGCCCATTGCTGAGCACGAACCAGCGACGCTGGTAGCCCTTCAGGTAGTTGGTCCACTTGAAGAGCCACCCCTTGTAGGTGTCGGAGCCCGGGAGGGAGGCGGGCGGTCCCCCCGCCGGGCCCCCGCCGCCGCGGCCGCCCGGCTCGGCGCTCATGGCCGGCAGCTCGTGGCAGGCCAGGCAGGGGACGGCGCTGAGGAGCGAGACCAGCCCGCGGGTGCCGCCGCCGCAGAGCGCGGCCGCCTTCCCCATAGACCCCGCGGGGCCCGGCCGAGGCTCCGCCGCTCCCGGGGCGG